AGATGTACATCACAATATAATTCAAATTCTGTGTAGATTACATCACGTTCACCACTCAAAGACTAATTATAATCCATCACCACACACATGTGCCTCATCACCCCTTTCACCCTTCTCCCTCCCCCCTTTCCCTCTGGTAACCATCAATCCAATCTCTGTTGCTTTGTATTTGTTTGTTGTTGCTTTTATCTTCTCCTTATGAGTGAGACCATATGGTATTTGACTTTCTCCCTCTGACTTATTTCACTTAGCATAATATCCTCAAGTTCTACCCATGTTGTCACAAATGGCCAGATTTCATCATTTCTTATGGCTGAGTAGTATTCCATTGTATATATATACCACATCTTCTTTATCCATTCCTCCCTGGATGGGCACCTAGGTTGCTTCCAAGCCTTGGCTATCGTGAATAATGCTGCAGTGAACATAGGGGTGCAAGTATCTTTATGCATTTGTGTTTTCAAGTTCTTTGGATAAATACCCAGCAGTAGGATAGCTGGATCATGTGGTAGACCTATTCTTAATTTTCTGAGGAAACTCCATACTGTTTTCCATAGGAGCTGCACCAGTTTACACTCCCATCAGCAGTGTACAAGGGTTCCTTCTCCCCATATGCTCTCCAACACTTGTTTCCTGTCTTAATAATAGCCATCCAGACCGGAGTGAGGTGATACCTCATTGTAGTTTTCATTTGCATTTCCCTGATAGCTAATTATGTTGAACATCTTTTCATGTTGCTGTTGGCCATCCGTATATCTTCTTTGGAGAAATCTCTGTTCAGATCTTTTGCCCATTTTTCAATTAGGTTGTTGGTTTGTTTGTTGTTGAAACATATGAGTTCTTTGTATATTTTTGATATTAACCCCTTATGCAATATATGGTTTTCAAATATCTTCTCCCAATTGTTAGGTTGTCTTTTCATTTTGTTGATGGTTTCCTTTGCTGTGCAGAAGCTTTTTAGTTTGATGTAGTCCCATTTTTTAATTTTTTCTTTTGTTTCCCTTGCCCAGTCAGACATAGTACTTGAAAATATGCTTCTAAGACCGATGTCAAAGAATATGCTGCTTATGTTTTCTTCTAGAATTTTCAGGTCTTACATTCAAGTCTTTAATCCATTTTGAGTTGATTTTTTTGCATGGTGTGAGATAATGGTTTACTTTCATTCTTTTACGTGTGTCCTTCCAGTTTTCACAACACTGTTTATTGAAGAGACTCTCCTTTCTCCATTGTATGCTCTTGGCTCCTTTGTCAAAAATTAGCTGTCATATATGTGTGGGTTTATTTTTGGGCTCTTGATTCTGTTCCATTGATTTGTGTGCCTATTTTTGTGCCAGTACCATGCTGTTTTGGTTACTATGGCTTTGTAGTATATTTTGAAATCAGGGAGTGTGAGGCCTCCAGCTTTGTTCTTTTTTCTCAAGATTCCTTTGGCTATTTGGGGTCTTTTGTTGTTCCATATAAATTTTAGGATTCTTTCTTCTATTTCTGTAAAAAATGTTGTTGGAACTTTGATATGGATTGCATTGAATCTATAGATTGCTTTAGGAAGTATGAACATGTTGACTGTGTTAATTCTTCCAATCCAAGAGCATGGAATATCTTTGCATTTCTTTGTGTCTTCTTCAATTTCTTGATGAGATCCCCAAGGATCTTTCTAATTAGTTTGGGTTATAGTACTCTTTAGACATTCCTTCATCTTATTGTAATAATACAAGTGTTTCGGATGCAGTATAATACGCTGCAGATCTGCCCTGTGCTTTAGGATCCTGGGCAGAAAATACACCATCAAAATATATTTTTATAGTGAGAACTATAATTTTTTTACTTGCAAAACTGAAAGAAAAACTAGTCAAATAAATATGAAAGAATTATATAGAACAGTCTGGTAAATTCTAAAAGAATCTTTGTTCTTATATGCTTCCTAGTATAAAACAGGCACAGGCCTGTTTGAATTTCCTACATCACAAGCTATATCCATGCCATTTACTTTTTCTTGTGTCATTCTCTTTGTAGATATCTATGTTAAAGTAGATTGATTTGTAATATGTGTTAGACACACACTGCATGTGTTTGGTTAAGGGTTAAATTGTAAATTTTTCAGAAATATTTTAGTTTGCTGAAAAATTTAAAAACTTAAAAATAAATAAAATAACATTTCATCATCAAGGAAACCAAAGTAAAAATTGTAGCAAAAAATAAATAAAAATAAAAGGTACGTACAGGAAGCGGTAATTGTTAAAATGCAGCTGCTCTGCTAAACATAGTGAAGGAAGAGATGGCTCACGGACTGGGCTACTCTCCGTGGCAATAAAGCTAAGCTCATATTTAAGCAGAACACTGTGAAGATTCTAGAAGAGAATATAAACATAATTCGGAAAATGCAACTCAAAGTAAGAGTTCAATAGATACATTCTCAAGGTTCACCAGTACTGTATGAAAATTCCTCTTTAACCTTTGTGCTTTCACTTAAGTAATCATCCACAATATTATTGTGAATTACAAGTGTTGGAGCATCTAGAGGGCCATTTCATAGCATCACTCTACCAGGGTGTTTAGTGCCTGCCCTTGTATTGGGGTTTACAGCTCAGCTGACTCCAAGAACACTGCATAAACAGTTAGAGGGTAAAAAGAGAAGGATAGAGGTAGACTTAATAGACAAATGGTTTGTTCATATCCAATGAAGAGCAGCTGGTAGTACATTCTCTGGAAGAATGAAGGTTTGTCTATTTTTCAACCAGAGAAAATTGGCAGTGAAAACTAAGCATACACAACAAACCCCAAATGACTTGTAACATAGCAGTCAGTACCAAATTTATACGGCTTTTTTGCTTTAGCCCAACAGCCCTATTCATCACATTAAATTAGTGATGTTAATTCAAATTATACTATTTGTATAGGACTTTGCTATTTAATTTTAAACATTTAACTTTGGCTTTATAGCATAAACTACAGGTTTATAAAAGTTATGCCAAATTTTATGTTTGTATATATTTAAATAACATTGTAACAAAAGTAGGTTAAGTCAATGCTGGAGTTCATTAGAGTTTTGTTTTTCCCTTTAAATTAAAATTTAATTCAACTATGAGAAACTATAATATGGTAAATAATTTCTACCCTCAAGTTACTTATTGTCTTTGAACTAGATTTCATGTTCTTTTACATTGCTTCTTCAAAAACTTCATTAAAATTGGATGGACTGGATCAACATATGAATGATAAAACCTTAATTTACTGAGTGGAGTTAGATAGATCTTGGTGCAAATCCTCACCCCACCTACCCCTTTAAAAACGTGTGAACCTGGGTAAGTTACTTAACATCTCTCCACTTTCGCATCCTCATATGTTATCTAGAAATAAGACACTTAGCAGAATTCTTTTGACAACTAAATATTAATAATAGCTAGCTCTTTTTGAATAAGTTACACGTATCAGCCATTTTGAACACATAATCATATGTAATCCTCACAAATTAGCATTCCCATTTTACAGATGAAGAAATAGCAAGGGAAGTTAAGTTAGTTGACCAAGCAATTACGCAACTAGTATGCAGTTGAGCTTACCAGGATCTGAATGCAAATTGGGCTGAAAAATCCCAAATTCTTCCCCACTACGTTATTTCACTTAAAATGAACTAAAGTGCTTAGCACAGGTCTGGAGCTTAGTCGGCACTCCATAAACATCATTTCCTTTCTTAAGAAAATGATTCACATTTCTCTTGTCTCTAGATCTCTTCTCATCTGAGCTACCAAAAACTTAAGATCTGCTTCTAGTGATAAATCATTCCAACTGCAGACTTTTGATGCTTGAAGTTTAAGAAAAGAGTGAAAGGATATAAATATGAAGGAATTACATGCTAGGCCATGGTATGAGGAAAGGTGCTTTTTTTGGGATTTATCATTTATCTCTCCTAGCATATGGCAATTTCTGGCCTACTAGATTGTCTGAATTATTTCTTTCCCAATAAGCAAATGCTCCTTATTTCTCCTATTGTAGAACAACCTTTGAGTTTTATTAATTAGAATCATTTTTCCAAAGTCTGATCAAAACAACTTTTTTCCACAAAAAAGTATATAGTACACTATTGGGATCATTAGAACTCAAATATTGTCACTGATGATAGAAGGGAACTGAAGCAAACTTCTTTCCACAGCTTCCTTCAACACCTTCTATGCTGAGGTCTTGGTTACGATGCTAAGAATGCCAAAAATCCTTAGGTATGTGAGCTATACTAGCTGATCCGATAAGCCTTTATGAAATTTTTATTTTAGGCTATAGGGACAAAGTTATATTATTGCTATAAGCTAAGCAGGATTTATAAGGCAAAATCACACCCAAAAAGAACAGGTAGCCATCGTTTATAGCAGACTGAAGTGTCATCTTAGTAGAAGCTCAACACTTCTTCAGATGATTTTCATGAGCATTAGAATGTATTTTATTGAAAGAAACTATATTGATCAGGACAGAATAATATCTTTTTTTTTCAAAATAGAATTAGTAATGAGATTCTATCAGATTCACCATGAAGGATTTTTTTTTTTACTGTGATACTAATACTCATCTGTAGACCAGAGTGACCATCTCTTTTAACTGCACAAATATTCCTTGGTGCTGTTACACAATTTAGAGCTTACTTAGGTGGATTAGCACAGGGCTTTCTGGCCCAAAGCTGAGACTGGCCCCAAATGAGCCCACTTGACACTTTATGGGTGCGATGAACAGGCCAGAGCTCCCAGGCAACCTTTCACAGCCTGATTTGGAATCCTCTTGAAATTACATATGACTGGTGGAGAGTCATCTGGAGAGGCCTAATCAGAATTTGTCTTCCATTCAGCAGAAATAAAATGAGCCCATTCAATTGTGTCAGAATTCATTTCTATACTAGAGAATGAACAATAACCTAAAATCAATGCCAACCCACTGGAGTTGGCTTACACGCTTGAGAAATTGTGCCTCAGAATGTTTTATACATTACTTTCATCACTCTGTGTTTTCTATTTCAGGGCCTGCTCTTCCCAAGACTCATGTTAAAACAGCCTCTCTTGGGTTGGCTGGAAAGGCAAGATCTCCTTTGCTTCCTGTATCTGTGCCAACAGCCCCTGAAGTGTCCGAGGAGGGCCACAAACCAACAGAGGATCCAGCCAATGTAAGAGCATCCTTGAAATTCATGCCCTGTCAGGTGAAGCAGTGGCTAATGCTGTACTTAAAGGCAGTCTTAGAAATACAAGCTGATGACTACAGAATATGTGACTATACATACATATATAATATATGATATATATCTATATATGTGTGTGTATATACATGCATTTCCTTTCAATGGGATGAAATACCTTGGAAATAAGACTATAAAATTATTCTTTAAAATGAAAAAAACAATAACAAAGTGCTCTACTCTGAGGGGTTATATGAAGTTATCATACATGTCACTCTAAAATCTTAAAATAGCCTGGAAACATAGAATTGGGAAGATGAACACACCAAATAAAGAGAAATGAAGGAAGGAATTTAAGAAGAAAAAAAGAGAAGGAACTGACATATTTAGAAAATAAGAGGTTCAATTATTTAATGAGAGAAAAAAGATTACTAAGGGAAGAAGTTAAAAAGTGATCAGATAAAAGAGACAAAAAAAATCTAAATTTTGACAGAGCAAGCATTTGAGAAATGCACTGTAAAAGAGATTTAAACAGATGTTGCCTAAAGGCAGAGGTTTAGAAAACTCTAGGTCTTTCTGAATATAATTCAAGAGAAAACATTTAAAAGAAGGCCAAGAAATTAACATATCAGTTACCTTGAAAAATCAGAGTGGAAGGAGAAAAAATAAAAAACAGATCAGAATCATCTCATTTGAATGAAAGATAATTTTGTCTTGACTTGATAGTTTTCAGTATGACAACCAATAAAATATTTTAACTACATGGAAACCAAGGAGTCTGGATATACATGTATGTGTGTGAATGTTTGGCAGAAGTATGTTATATAAGTAATGTAATTTTTGGATACTTAAAAAATATTCAAATTTATAAGAATCTAATGCACTGCTTTGTCAGAATGTAGCTGTTAACTGCAATATTTGTGTAATCTCATGGTTGTTGGCCATATCTTAAATCAGATCAAACCCCTAAATTTATACTATTGTCTCATCTCATAAAGAATCATGGTAGGCAGCCCATTTTTGCATTTAAAGTTGATTTTAAAGAGTGACAAAGATATAATATTAAGAGCAGTAAGAAATAAATATTAAGAGAAATACAGAAATGTGGCAAATAATCTAGATCAACCCTGTCCTATAGAACTATATAACGTGAACCATATGTGTAATTTTAAATTATCTAGGAGCCACATTAAAAAATGTAAAAATAAATAGGTGAGATTACTTTTAATAATACCTTTTATCTAACCCAATATTTTCAAAATATTATCATTTCAATAATTGATAAATATAAAAAATTGTCAATAGGATATTTTACATTCTTTTGTACTAAATGTTCAGAATCTTGTGTGTATGTTATATGTACAACATGTCACACTTCAGACTAGCCACATTTCAAAAATCCAATAGCTTACCTGTGCCTAGTGGTTGCTGTATTGGACAATGAGATCTAGATACTTAAAGAAACACAACCCAGTCAACTGAGACAACATTTTTGGAAAAGAGTTACCAACTAGTCACCTCATTTCAACCTCCCTCCTCATGTATACGCCAGTCTTTTGAGCCAAATTGGCTACTTTTCAGTCCCTGCTAAGCTCTGAAGATTACATAGTATATAACCAAGTCATTCATTGGCAAACTGAGATTCCTATAAGAAGGTACAATTTCCAACACATTTAGTACCATGCATTTTGAGCTGTTTCTTTAGTGGTTGGAGTGAGTTTTGCCTATCCTCCCATGTAATTTCCACCAGTGTTTTCTTGGGATCAAGGGTATTTATTTGGCAAGATTAGATATACATTCTGATCTTGGTACTGAGAAACGCTTCCTGGCCTACACAGAGCTAGAAATCATGACTCAGTCCTCATTGATGCAATAACTTAATCAAGTGCCTGGGCTATGCAAGAATAATCAAGTAGGGCAGGTCTACATTAGCCAAGACAAAGGGTATGTTGAGAAAGGAAAAAAGAAACTGACATTTTTGAGCACTTGCTACTCACCAACACTGATTTGTTGAATCCTCCCAACTACCCAATGAGGCAAGCTTGCTATTCTTATTGACAAATAAGGAAACAGACTCAAAAAAACCAGCTGTATTAGAAGAACTGGGATTCAAATCAATGGCACAGTCTCAGCGCTCTTCCTCTTGAAGAAGGAAGATTTCCTTCTTCCCATTGACTGACCATCAAAATTACATGTGAAGCTTTAAAAGAAGACAGAAAGATTCTAACCCTCCTTAGACCTACTGAATCAAAATGGCCTAGGCTAGTGAAGGGAATGTGTGATGACTAATAAGCCAGTATTACTAATGACACGATTCTAGTGCTCACAGTGAGTGAGTTAGAGAGAGTATGTTCACCAAGACTTCTGCAGTTCAACCTCTTCATTTTATCTATCGGTCAAATTGTGCCGTAAGGTTACCTTTACCACTAGGCTTAGAGGCAATTCTGGTTTGTGGTGAGAATTTTCTTTCTACACACAAACTAAAGTCATAATCCTCAGAACTGTTATTGGTCAAAGCAAAGCCCATCAAGCTTCCATTTTGATACAAAAATGTGCCTATGTTGCATCACAAAGACGAGAGACCTGGTGGTGTAAATTCTGTTTATTTTCTAGTGGGTGACCTATGAAAAGAAAAAGGAACTAACATATTGAATATGCACTGTGTGCTGGACACTGTGATAGGCACCAAACATGTCACAGGATGCTCAGAATAGCCTATGAAATAGATTTCCTCCTCATCATTTTGTAGCTGAGAACTATATGTGAGAGAAGTTCACTAACTTGTCCAAGACCATGCAGCTAGTGATTGGTAGAATTTGATTTGAAACGAGATTTGTTTGACTCTAAAGTCTTTTCCTCATCACAAGGATGAAGGTAGCAAAATAGTATGCAGTCATTCATCACTACCTCTTTTACTACCAGCATCTTCATTCAGTGATTATATTCTGGGCACAGCCCCTGGCTATGGGCCACTGTGTCATGCTTGAGAATAGAGTGAACCAACTAGACATGGCCCCTGCCTTCATCAAAGGGATGTATTGATATTCACCTGTACTAACTCTTTGCTCTCATTCTCTCTGTAGGTGTACGAACAGGATGATCTGAGTGAACAAATGGCAAGTTTGGAAGGGCTAATGAAACAACTTAATGCCATCACAGGCTCGGCCTTTTAACACTTATTGTTCAATTGATGAAGTGAATTTTCTTGGAACTTTGCAGCATCCTAATTACCCATAAACAGCACACCTGTGTCCAAGAACTCTAACCAGTGTACAGGTCACCCTTAAGGACCACTCAGTTATGAAGATCCTGAAGCAGTTCGGAAGGAATAAGCATCCCTTCTTTCATAGGCATCAGGAATTTACAAACAGTGACTATGGGGTCCCTAAATGAAAGCAAAGATACATCTTCACTGCAATGTCAAAGCTGAAGCTGCTAGAATAGTCCTGGGTCTTTGCCGCTGCAGTGACCACACTGTCATAACTAATGCTTATGTTTTCCTTCATTGCAGTCTCTCGTTTTTGTTATGTGTGGGACTAGTCTTACAAAATGCAAGTGCATTATTTAAGCCTGTACCATGCCATGGCAAGTCAGTGCAAGCTCACTATTTTGTTTTCAACTTTAAAGTACAAAGCACCCACGAGAATTCTCTCACTACATAGCACCAAAGGATTGGATGTTTTCCTGACAGCACAAAAAGTAAATAAGTAAACAAACAAAAGGCAGCAAATGCTTGTTTTGTAACTTAGTCATTCATCTTGCACAAGTGGTGGATATTAGCAAGTGGCTGTAAAATTCATCCGTTTTAGCAAGTGTTTATAAATCCACCCTTGGTTAACATTTATGTCTGGAGAACAGAAACATAAAAATCTGCAACCAGTGGCATCCTGCCAGCAGCAGTCCATTTCCTAAATGAGGATACAATATGCAATCTTTTCAGACACACTGTATTTATGTGCTTAAGCTTGTAACAGGACACTTTTCAATTTGGGTGGCTTTTGTGCCATACCACACTGTGATGACATTTCAAAGATTCACCAAGGCCGTCTTCCTCAGGAGTCTGGCTGGAAGAGCTCCTCCCTCCCCCAAGCCCTCCCTGAGTTCTCCTTGGCAGCCATCCTTGGGTGAGCTGGCCAGCTCCATACATCACATGGCCTCTTGATCAACATCCCTGTAACCCTCTGCATAAATGGCAGGCTCCCTGAGAACAGGCCCTGAGGAAGGGAAGGAAAATGGAAGGCAGTTTCAGACAGTACCTTCTCTTGAGTGATGTCACTTCCACCAACAGGGTCCTCACTGACTCAGAGCAGTACTGGTAAGTGGCAACCACCAAGCCCTATTGTCAAAAGAAATTTCTACACCATTGCTTGCCCAGAGTCAGAGAGGAAGGCACCTCTTGATGCTTCTGACACATCGTAAATCCAGTGGATATTTCTCAAAGCTGCATCTTCATTGTGAGCTAGAATTTTAAACTTCTATTGCCATGTTTATCTACAGCTTGGAACTAGGTAAAATTAAGAACATTTTGTGTGCATCCTTTTAGTTTCTAAATGTTCAGCTACATTTGGAGTTAATCCCTGTTTATGCAGCTGAATCGCCAAAAGGGAGCTAGTTTGCATATTTATCAGTCAGGCAACTTGAAAATCCAATAAGAGAGGTTCAGCTGAATTATTCCTTTCAGCTCTGCCTTTGATTTCAAGCTTGAGTAGGTCATAATTTTAAAAGAGCATGGAAGGGATAGGATCTTTACAACCTAATAGCTCCTTTTATTAGGTGGGTAATTATATATGAATCCCTGAATGAAATATTTTGAGCAAAATGGCACTGTAACAGAAGTAATAATTCAGATTATTTTTTTACAGTTTTATGTCGGGAAGGAAATCTGATGTCAAAGAGAGGGCTTGTTCAAATGGTTCATTAGAAAGTCCGGTCCATTTGTGAAATTATTCCTTCAACAAGAGTGCTTGTTCAATTTACTAAGATTTTCCTGAAGTCCTTCTGAGGAGACATGTGATGTTATTCTATGGGGAGATTGCCCTTGTAAAACATCTGGGCACTTAGGCAGACAACCCTCCACTGACCTGGAGCAAGGCATTTCCTAACATAATACTGAATCTTACAAAAATAATCCATTAGTTCAGGAAAGAAAATGTTTATTAGGCTAGCCTTACCTTCTTGAGGTCCTAGAATGACTTCTTCTTTCTAGTACTCACAAACAAGGAATATTCTCTGAAGGCATTTGACATCCAAAGAAGTCATCCTGACTAGTCAGTTTGGAATGGGCTGCAAATCTCAGATTTCAGAGATTGAGTCACTTCTTCAATCTGTAGACTATAGCTGACAATCAAGAGAACTAGCTTTTCTTTTTTTTGAGGAAGATTAGCCCTAGCTAATAACATCTGCCAATCCTCCTCTTTTTGGTGAGGAAGGCTGGCCCTGAGCTAATATCCATGCCCATCTTCCTCTGCTTTATATGTGGGATGCCTACCACACCATGGCTTGCCAAGTGGTGCCATGTCCACACCCGGGATCCGAACCGGTGAACGCCAGGCTGCTGAAGCGGAACGTGTGCACTTAACTGCTACACCACTGGGCCAGCCCCAAAAGAACTAGCATTTTCACAAAATTCTAGATGACTCTAGTCAAAGTCAATGACCTTAGGAAATAAAATTTTTAAAAATACATGAAAATATACATTATTTGTGTTCAGTGAGAGAGATATTTCTGCTACATGCTCTTGAAATTCTCTCAAGAGACTCTTGTACAATTTACGCAATGGTTTTAGTATGCAATGACTTTACCACAACTCTACTCCCCATTCTCTTGGATAGTCACATATGTGCACAACTGCCTGCCCAGGTTTTCAGGCGACTTTTTAATTTCCCAGTCTCCTGATCTCTTGACAGGAAACAATCTGTGAATACTGCAAGATAGCCTCTATTCTGTTCCTATTCTGAGTCTAGTTCCTGACATACAGGGCTCTTTAAGCTCATAAATCTCTCTGAACCCAGAGCACCATGCTTGACAGCCAACCAGCAGCTCTGCCACCAGGACTCATTTCTCCCTGAAAGAGAAGAAAATAAAACTTGGCAGAGCATGCCCAGGCCTCTCCTGCACTGTGCTGAACTGTCAGGCAAGAGCCTCCTCTTGAAAAGTTTGGTGTTTCTCTTTGGTATTTCATACTGATAAGACAGCTATTTTCTTTTCTCTAGAAATTTCTGCATTTTTTAAAGTCACCATAATGCAGATAGCTCAAAATGCACACAGCATATTTGGAGGATGCTCTAGCCCAAAGTGAAATATTTCTTAGTGATTCACATCCAATAAGAAATCAGTCATGGCTACCTCTTTGTAGAAGAGCTATAAGCTTCTAAAATATTTAAATAATGGAACTTTACATTTGGGTATTATAAAATACACACTCAATTGAAAAATCTGAAAGAAAAAAAAAGCACATCAAGCCAGGGATATAAGAGGTGAATTTATTAAGGCTTCCTGTCAGGGGTTAGATAGAATATTATTCTCTTCAAATAAGGGTTGTTCAAAATGACATGTATGTTCAGTCCTCTGCCTTTGGTAAGAGCTGCAAAAGGAGAGGGGTCCAGCATGAGTTTGTCGTTCCAGACAATATTTGGAAACTGTGAAGTCTAGCACTCATTGGCTATTCCGAAAAGCATCTCTAGGTACAGGTCTTTATGGAAGCCTTCATGGTGTGTGATTGAAGATGGTTTCTCATTCTTATCCACCCTTTCGATACATCTGTCTGTGGACTTTGTTTAAAGTAACCTCATTTGTTCTTCTCCAAATTTAATAGAATGTCTCATATATTGTAGCTGGACTGTAATTCCTACCAAAAAAAGTTCACCTCTGAAGAGATCACCTTACCATTTTAGATAAAATTGTGTCCCAGACTCAGCCTTCTTGTGATTTTAGAATGTCCATTTCTAGTCCATGAGAGAGAAAAAAATAGAATTCCCTAGTTTTAGGTGTGATTAAAGAAAACGAAATCATCTGAATTTTAAAATAGATGTGGAGCAAGGTTGCTTTCCCTCCCTCAACCAGTTTACTTCATGCAACCACAGACCACCTTGAGGCCAGAGGTTAGTATCCTAGCCTGTTGTTAACGCAATGCAGAGCCCACAGCATTTTGGAGCAGCAGATGCATCCAGATTTCAAATCTACAATCTCTCTTTCTTTAGTCACTTTCAAAGCAAACTTTTACTCATAATGTCATATTTCTCTAGTGACTTTCAGAAATCAATGTAATATTATATAGAAAAGCTTTTCACTTGATTCCAATGTTTTAAATTAAATTGGATACTTTGGAAAATCATAGATCTTTTTTATGATATTCCATTCCATTGAAAAATATGCACTCCCATACCTCCATATACTTTGCTATCCAAATACCTGCTTCTAAAAGGTACTGATTCTGAAAAGAAATGCCCGAGTATTTCCTGGTCAGTGAGGTAATAGAGGAGACCAAATGCCACGTCCGTATCAGCAAACGAATATTACTTCTGGGCTCTCCATTGCCACCAATGGATAACGTTCACTTGGCAGACTTCTAGTCGCACTCTCCGAAGGATTTCTTCTCCTGCTCTCAGTAAGAGAGTCTTTGTGCATTGTCACCCTATAATTTTGTGTTGGTTGGAGAGCAACAGCAAAATTCTACAAGATGTCATAAACACAGACACATGGGCCGAAGGATCTCACTGTGTGCTGAAAGTGTATTTTCAGATGCAAGAAAGGAATGTTGGGGAGGAGGAGAAATGCTGTTTTTTATTATTGTAGGGTAAACCTGACAATTCGGAACTTTGTGAATTGTCAGCTTGTTTGGGGGATGGGTGGGTGGGTACGGGGTGTACTTTTTATAAGTAATATTTAATTTATTATTTAGAGTGGCTTCTTTTTGGATAATTTATGAGAAAAAGGGAGATCTGGTTGGGAATCTAGATACGGCTGTTAAAGCTGCAGTGTTCCATATCTCAGAGGGACCACTTTGGAAACGAATTGTCCGTTCCTGAGTATGAGGATACATTCAGGCAAAGCCTCCACTGAAGCTTCCTCATTACCGCCTTCTCCCTTTCCAGGGTCATTAAAACAAGGTGACACCAAACCTAAAATATTCTGACAGCATTTTGCAGATCAATGCTACTTATTCTCTCAAAGGGCTTTGCAATTCAAAAAAATTGTTAGTGTGCTAGTGGTAGGTTTATTTGGTAGAAATGGGTATACTACAGCTTTAACTAGCCTTAGTGGAGAAAGAAATTTTTTGTTGCTACAAAACGCCTTAAAAAAAAGGCATTTTGAGCCTACAAAGAGTTTCTTTAAATTGTCAGACTCTAGCATTGTTAACCAAATTAGACTAGTGATTGCAATATTTAAGTGTAAATCTTGTTCTATGAGAAAGGAAACTTGCTTACAGTTTAAAACAATGACTGTTTCTACACACGATCTTGTATACTACTACACGAGGAAAAAGGGGTTTTGTAATCACTGTAGAACAGTCTGATATTCATTTTTTATAGAAATGTTATTCCAATGGTGCATTTTTTGTTTAATAAATAAAGTTTTGATACAAAATTGTTTCTTTGTCTATATTTATATTTAATGGTTGACACTGAATGCCCCCAACCCTAATCCCTACCTGTGTATTCTTATCCTCAGGATATACATTGCCTTTTTTTTTTTTTTTTGCTGAGGAAGATTAACCCTGAGCTAACATCTGTGCCAGTCTTCTTCTGCTTTGTATGTGGGTTGCTGCCACAGCATGGCTGCTGCTGAATGGTCTAGGTCCACACCCAGGAACCAAACCCAAACTGCTGAAGCAGAGCTTGCTGAACTCAACCACTTAGCCAAGGAGCCAGCCCCCAATTTGCCTTTTTTGACATTTGTGGTAAAGGCTGTTGGTGCTCTGCTGCATCCCCTAGGATCCTTATACCATTTTTATGCACATGCCCAGTATGCTTTCAATCCCAACAGCCAATACTCACGTCTTTTTGTTGGAGGGCTACCTCAGGCTGCATGCACAGGAGAGCTGGAAATGCCTGTCAGACCTTACCAATAGCTGATAAGTACTCCAAACTTTTTGCCTCTGATTGAGACAACTCTGAGGTGTAACCTAACTTACCTCTGGACGTCCCCTGCAGGACTGAATCAAAGTGATTCTCCATGGAGAGAGGCTACGCCCACAATATTTCACCCTAGATATTGTACCCTCGTTTGGCTTACCTTCTATCTCTTTCCATCTTCCTCCATTCTTCTAATGGTTTCTCCCAGGAGCACTTCACAATATATCACTTTTACACAAATCTTCATGTGAAGATCTATTTTAGGGGCATTAACTCAAGACAAGATCCTTCTATCTTTGTTGCCATTTCAACACACCAACAACAATATGTAATACTCTCTCTATCCTCTGGATATTTCACCCATACAATATTGACAGCAGAACATGGGGACACATATGAGGAAAACAATATATTGCTATGAGTATTGAAATATTACGTTGGCCATGTAATCTACTCTTTAAGAGAAAGTCGTGAATTAATAAAAGTTTTATTAACTTTTTGGGGTAAGCAGAGAACTACTCAGTAAGTCATTTTTTGAAAGCAATGCATCACAGATGACAAGACAGATGGGCCTTTAAAGGTCATCTGGCTCTTCCATCTTCTTCAACTCAAATCATGCTATCTAGAGAAAAAAGTTGTGTTTAAGATTGCCAAGGATCTAGAGAAACTGAAACCACTGTGCGTTGCTAGTGGGTATGTAACTAGTACAGCCACTCTGGAAACTAGCATTATGGTTCCTAAAAAAATTAAACATTGATTACCATATGATCCAGCAAATCCAATTCTGGGCATAACCCCAAAAGAATTGAAAGCGGGGACCTGAACAGATATCTGGACATTCATGTTCACAGCAGTGTTATTCACAACAACCAAAAGATGAAAGCAATACAAGCATTCATCGATAGATGAATGAGTAAACTAAATGTGGTATATACATGCAAGGGTATATACATACATATTCAACCTTAAAAAGTAGGGACATTCTGACACATGCTATAACGTGGATGAACTTTGGGGACATTAGGCTAAGTGAAGTAAGGTCATCACAAATGAACAAATAGCGTATGATTCCACGTGTAAGAGGTACTTAGAGTAGTCAAATTCATAGAGACAGAAAGAAGAATGGCGATTGCCAGGGGCAGGGAAGATACGGGAATGCAGAGTCATTGCTTAATAGGTACAGAGTTTCAGTTTTGGGAGATGAAAAAAGTTCTGCAGATGAATGGTGGTGATGGTAGCACAAGAACGTGAATGAACTTCATGCTACTGATCTGTACTCTACACTTAAAAATGGTTAAAATGTTTAGTTTTGTTATATATATTTTACCACA